TTGCAATGTGCTAGGGATACATCAGATAATTAAAAAAAAAAAAAAAAAAGCATTTTTCAACATGAGCTTAGCGGGAGAGAATGCCCCAAAAGAGGAAGGAAAAAAATATGTAGTTAATTATAGATTGTGATAACTTTTATGAAAGAAACAAACTCTGTGGTGCAGAAAACAATAAGGGGAGGATATTCTTAGATTGAATGCTCATAAAAGACCTCTCTGAAGTGGAGTAACTGAAACACAGACCTGAAAGGTGAAAAGTCAGCCATATCTGTAGCAGAGGGGAGATCATCCTCGGGGGAGGTTGCAGGATATGTGCAGACCCTGAGACACAAAAGATGCAAAGATATTTGAAGAACTAAAAAGAGGCAATGAGGCAGGAGTTAGCTTTTGGACAAGATAAATTTTCCATGCCAGTGAAGTATCCAGGTGGAGATGTCAAGTAGGTAGTTGGATATACCAAAGTGAGTTGGAGAAGAGCTCTAGAGGCTAGAGATACCGTTTGGTGTCATCAGAATATAGATGACATTTAAAGCCAGGGGAATGGATAAGATTGTCTAGGGAGACAGTATGAGGAAACATGAGAAGAGGACCCAGAACCAAGCTCTGAGCAGCTCTGCTGTTAGCTCAGGTGGAGAAAGAACCTACAGAGGAGACTGAGGAGTAGCAGCCAGAGAGGTAAGTGGAAACCAGAAGAGTTGTGAAGTCCTGGGAACCAAGAGAGGAGAGCATGTCAAGGAGGAAGAGTTAAGTGTGTCACACATTCACTTCTGAGAGTCCACGTCAGATGAGTCCAGAAAAAGTGATTATTAGATTTGATAATATGGAGGTCAAGAGGAGCTTTAGTGAAATGATAGGAGCCAAAGACAGATTGAAATGATGAGAAAGAGGAAGATCTAGACACAATAATTTGATTGGAAAGGAGAGTAAAAGAGTGTGTTGTGAAGATACATAGCTGAAGAAGTGGGTCAAGGGATGAAAGCACATTTGAATTTGGATATAAATGTTCCAGTCGAAGGGATGAGAGAAAGGGGATGACCAAAGGAACAAATTATTTGAAAAGAGAGGTAGGAAAGACCTACCTTAGAAAGGTAGATAAACTTTCCTCCAAAGGGAGGAAAGAGATTGAAGATGGTGGGCTGGGGATCTGGTGAAGGAAGAGGAGAGGGTTCCTATCTAATAGCTTAAATTTTCTCTATAAAATGTAAGTAAGACAAGGTCATATGCTGAGAGTGAGTGGCAGAGAGGCCTAAGAACATTTGAGAAGAGAGGAGAAGGTATGAATGAGTCATGTGAGAAGGAGGAAAACAAATATGCTAGAAAATCATAGTAGGATGGCTGGCAGTGCTAGGAGTCCATTTGAAGTATGGGAGCATGAGTTTAAAGGAAGTATCCTGATGGCCATGCCTCCCCTATAAATCCTGCAGCCCACCTACATGTCTGAAATCCCAATGGGAGTCATGTCTTGGAGGAGCCCTCAAACAAGGCAAAACAGTGAGCTGAGCTTTTCAGCCAGGACTCTGAAAGACCGCAGCTGCTATTTGCCCGCACCTCTCAGATAGGCTTTACGAGTGAGCCTTATATTTTCTCATTCTTGGCATCAGTTTCCCACCTCATAGTTTTCCTCAGACCTTGTAAAATTTACATTTCATCAGGATGGAAACCAAAACCCATTGTGAACAAGAAAGATAACACTCTAAAAATATCAGCTATTCATAACATTTCTCCTTTTGCAAATTACATTATCCACTCCCTTCCATGTGACCTTTGCCTAATGTGCAGTTTCCTATTTGTGCAAATGATTGGAACAGAGAAGAAAAACATAGTTACAGCCAAGGGCAGGGAAAGCAATTCTTTTATGAAATATATTTATATATTAGAAATGAAATAGCGATATCAGGCTTTTAATTTCTTTTACCTGCTGCTGACAACCCAAGAGGTTAGTGACAAACATGCATGAAGGAGGATAGTGGAGTGTAGAGGAAAAGAACCTACATGAGGCAAACATGGGTTCAAATTCCAGCTCCAATATATGCAAATTCTTAACTCTTACTGAACTTTAGATTCTTCAACTGTAAAATGAGGATAATATTATATGTACCTGATGATAGTAGGATAGGAATCAGTGAAGAAACGGAAGGGGCACCTGGCTCAGTGAATTAAGTGTCTGACTTTTGGTTTTGGCTCAGGTCATGATCTCACCACTCACGAGTTCAGGCCCTGCATTGGACTCTACACTGACACTGTGGAGCCTGCTTGGGATTCCTTCTCCCTCTCTCTCTGCCCTTCCCCCACTCACTCTGTCTCTCTGTCTCAAAAATAAATAAACATTAAAAAAAAAGAAATATAAGTAAATTTTTTGGAATATGTTACTCAACTGATATTTATTATCATCATCATCATCATCACAATTAGTTATGTAACAAATTTATTGGTAAATTTTGGGAGCAATCTGAGGTTCTTTCAAACCTGATCCATAAAAATATCCAAGCTGATAAATACCAGGTGATTATTTACATCTTTAATGGAGAGCTTGATTTATATTACTCTGACATTTCAGAATCAAAGGAATTCAAACTTTCACTGTCCTCAGGTCACTGCTCTCTGGAGACTAAATCTTTTCCCTGGTAGATCCAGGAAACCCATTTCAGTGACCCTTTATTTTTTATTTTTTTTTATTTTTTATATATGAGGTTTATTGTCAAATTGGTTTCCATACAACACCCAGTGCTCATCCCAAAAGGTGCCCTCCTCAATACCCATCACCCACCCTCTCCTCCCTCCCACCCCCCATCAACCCTTAGTTTGTTCTCAGTTCTCAACAGTCTCTTATGCTTTGGCTCTCTCCCACTCTAACGTCTTTTTTTTTTTTCCTTCCCCTCCCCCATGGGTTCCTGTTAAGTTTCTCAGGATCCACACAAGAGTGAAACCATATGGTATCTGTCTTTCTCTGTATGGCTTATTTCACTTAGCATCACACTCTCCAGTCCGTAGCAATCTCTTACTCGACACATCCCCAAAGGCAAGGGAATTAAAAGCAAAAGTGAATTACTGGGACCTTATGAAGATAAAAAGCTTCTGCACAGCAAAGGAAAC